ATTACAGGCAAGGCCCAAAATTCATTTTAAAGAGGAGACAAAACCCACTCTCCTACTAACATAAGAACGACGAAGAGCTTTGATGATTTCCATTAGAGATACTTTCTTTAATGAGTAGTCAGTAAAATGCCAGTACTCCTCACACTGGAAACAACCTGTTAACAATGAATAACAACTTCTACTGATTACACCATTTTTACTGATAATTCATATACTATATTAACATCACAGAACATTCATTATTAGCTCTTGGTACAATAAATCACAAAAAGTCTACTTATCCTGCTGAAATAAAAATATGTAAATTACACCCACTGCTCATTTTAAACAATACAGGTAAAACAATACAATTTTTCTGACACACAGGCTGTGCAAGGAACACAAAGAGCACTTCTCCACACACATATACTGCTTTGCACCCTCAAAAGAGGAAATTACCACAGGGCATTTCTGTGCCTTTTCAGATGAACAATTTAGTATTCTGACAAACATTTAATTTACATTTTTTAGTTTTTCCTCTACAATATAAAATAATTTCTTTTTGACACAGAATGCCACAGCACACAGTACAAGATGGGGGTAAAAAAGCAGTGCAGGGCTGGAAGGCAGCAGAGAGAATTGAGAAGGAATGGCTTTTGTTATTTCGACAGCCCTCAGCTTGCAGCATAGTTGGATTTAGAATATGTTCTTTAAGAGCAGCAGTTTTCATGGTGTAAGAGTGCCACACAGCTCTGGTTCCTGCAGTGCTCACACCAACAACTTCAAAACGAACTCACTGCAGATGTCCCTATGATCATCTAATCAGACATCAAAAGCAATATACTGACAAGCTCCTGTGCTGATTAGAAGTGTTCTATATATGTTTCACAGTATAAACAGACACACAGTAGTTGCTTTATAAATGGATTCACCCACATCAGAATTCCCTTTTAAAAATTCCAACTGTTTGGAGCTCCCCAGCTGAATGACAGAAAATCCTTTTAAATCTTCCCAGATCTTCTGTTCAGTTCCACATTGCAGTATTTCAAGAGCAAGAGTTAAATTATTAATAGGAAAACTTTTACCAGAAAAAAGTAAATGTCTTCCAGAATTTAAAAACCTTGCTATTCTGAATGACAGCCTGAGACCACACCACATCAGGGAGGCAGTCTTGCTTTTACCCTCCAACACACATGGTAATATCTAAGATCTATTTCTAAATCTGCTTTGATGTCTGATTATTATACATCAACAAGCACAGATTTAAAGCATTACAAGTGCACCAGCACTGCTAGTTCCTGAAAAAATAGTGTTTCTCCCAATATCTGGTTTCCTTCTCAGAGTCCACTTCCTGCAACACTTAAAGAGGACCTATAAGAAAGATAGGGACATTTTTTAGCAGAGTCTGCTGTGATAGGACCAGGTAATGGTTTTAAACTAAAAGAGGGTAGATTTATTCTAGATGAAAGATGTTTTTTACAAAGTAGGTGACAAAACATTGAAACAGGCTGCCCAGAGAGGTGGGAGATGCCCTGTCCCTGGAAACATTCAAGGTCAGGCTGGATGGGGCTCTGAGCAATCTGGGCTAGTGGAAAAGGTTCATGCTTATGGTAGGAGGGATGAAACCAGATGACCTTTAAGGGTCACTTCCAACCCAAAGTGTTGTATGAGTCCATCACATAACTATGGGAGAATTTCATATTGAAATTCTAACACACACAAAAGAACCAGAAAGTAAAACTATCTGACCTAGTCCAGTAAACACACTGGACAGAAGTTCTATCTTCTAAAATCAGACAGACAATACAACCCTCATAGCAGTATAGTCTCTTAGCTCAAGTCTTAGCAGAAATCTGCTGAATCAAATTATAAACTCTATGGAATTATTCCACCACTGTGCCAAAAAAGACCCTTTCTGCCCTGCCCTACTTTTAAAGAGCACGATTTCTGTTCTTTTTAAAATACTCACACATTTTGAACATACTGCTGATTATCTCACACCCAAATTTGTAGTGTATGTGTCTTTACGTTTTCATATCTATATAATATCATATAGAAAAGGAAGAAATTGTTAAGCTGCATCCTTACACATGTGGATGTTATGCTAATTCACAGGAAGGCTAATACACCACAAGCACAATTAACAGCCAGAAGAACCACAGAAGGTTTTGACCCTTTTTAACAAGAGCTTGAAACATAAAAATGCTCTAATTATATATCACCCTTATTCAAAATTGCAAATTACATGTCCACAATGCATAAAATACAGTGAATTTCAAGTCATATCTAGGCAAAAATTGAAACTGTATTGAGCCACTGGAGCGATTCTTCAATTGATCCAGCATCTCATTGTATCTTTAAATATGGATAAATACAATTTGATCTGCCAGTCCTATTGATTAACTCCAAGATAACCTAAGTATTTGTCCAGAAAACATGTAACTATAAAAGAAACTCATGCAGAAAATAGCATACAATAATAATCAGCAAGTTAACAAGAAGGGATGAAACCTTAATCCCATCAGAATTAATGAAAATTATTATCAATTCAAATAGGATCCTCTGTCTAAAACTCATGACAAATCAAATCTCATGACAGTAGAGGAAGTCTGTCCCTGGGCAAAAAGAGAGACAAGCAGAAGTAACAGCTCCAGAAACCAAAGTTCAGATGTTGGCAATTACTGCCTGAATGAAATTGATTGAGCAGAAGCAGCAAAATGCATTCCGCTCCCCAGCACCAAACCAACAGTGCCACACAATTCACACTTTCTGCCTTGCTGCATCTCATCCCTACCATGTTGGGCAGAGGGATCCAGTCAGGAACTTCTGAGTTGAAGAAAATCTGAAACTGCAGCTCCGCTCAGCAAACTGGGGACAAGTGTTGAGCAAGTGTTAAGTGCCCCAAGAAGGCTTGTTTCTTCTGGAAGGTTTCAGCATCTCAATCCCACTCCATGGCCTCGCTCCAGAGGAGATCCCTAGCTGAAGACTACATGTCCATTGCTAAACCCACTTTGTGAGGCCCGACCATTTGCAGCTGGACCAGCCCTTGGCCTTTGCCAGAGCAAAACTATGGGCACATAACTTTTCAGAGAAGTAGAATCACAGAATCCTAGAATTGGGTTGAAGGGGCCATAAAGATCACCTAGTCCCAATGCCCCTGATATAGGACACCTTTCACTAGACCAGGATGCTCAGAGCCCCATCCAACATGGCCTTGAACACATCCAGGGATGGGCATCCACAGCTTCTCGGGGCAACCTGTGCCAGTGTCTCACCACACTCCACTCATCACAAAGAATTTCTTTCTCATATCTAACCAAAATGTCCCTTCACAGTTTTCACCCATTATTCCTTGTCCTGTCACTACAGTTCTTGATGAAGAGTCCCTCTCTGGCTTCCCTGCAGGCCTCCTTCAGATACTTCTATGAGGTCTCCACACAACCTTTGCCTCTCCAAGGTGTTCTAAGCTCCTTACGAACTCCATGGCCCTCCTCTGGACTCATTCCAACAGGTCCATGTATTTCCTGTACTGGGGACCCCATAGCTGGATGCAGCACTCCAGGTGGGGTCTCACCAGAGTGGAGCAGAGAGGCAGAATCTCGCCCCTCAACCTACCGGTCACATTTTTTTTGCAGCCCAGGGTTCAGATGACCTTCTGGGCTGCAAGTGCGTACTGCTGGTTCATGTTGAGTTTTTCATCAGTCATCACCTCTCCTTCCCCTCAGGAAAAATGTTCTCAATCACTTCTGCCCAATCCACAGATGCGCATAATAACATTAAACTAATTCTGTATCCCTGAAGTCCTCTCTGGATACCAAGGGAAGAAAGTTTTCATTCTTGAAAGCCTGGTCAGGGTTCTATGATCCTAACTAGGCAGAAGAGCTATGGAGCAGCTTTAATAAAGTAAAAAAACCCCAAAAACATTAACAAATACTTTTTTTTCAATACAAACAAAGAATAAATTTTGATGTGTGTTACCCCTATTTTTCCCTGATTACTGTCTCTAAATTTTGCAGTGGCAGCTATCACAGTAAGGAAAGAGAGGTTTGGATGAAAAAAGAAACTCAAATTTTGTACCATCTGTTAAATGACTTCCAGTCTGAGGGAACAGATGCTGGACTTCACTATTGGTTTTTGATTGATCTAGAAGTATTTTGTTAATTGGGGCTAAAACTACAGCTAAGATGTGTCAGAGAAAATAGGAAAGAATAGCTCAAATTCTCCTCAAACTACCTGATCATTCAGAACAGGCTTTGTTACTTTTGTAATCATCATATAGCATTAAAAAAATCAGATCTTCCTTTGAATAAATGGGACAGCTGACAAACAGAATACATGCTCTGCTTGATGCCATAAATAATGTGAACAGCTCAAATGATTCATCAGGTTCAACCAGTTCACCTGAATGGGATAGCAAAGTTCTTTCCTTGTATCACTGCATGTTTGCTGTACTATTTAGTGCATTACTCTTTGTACAACTGAAGTGCACTTTCCAGGAGGTAAATCAGTGCTGTCTTCAGAGAATGCCACGGTAGTCACCACTCAAGAATCTGCTGAAGCACTGGTGCATCAGTGTAAGGCAGCATACGGGAACTGCCACACAGAGCCCACTGCCTGTTCCATGTGTACCACGCACCAAAACGCCCAAAGTGCCAAAACAGCTCAGCTAATTATGAAAATCAGCTTCAATTACAAAATAATTGCTAAGATAATTGTGGCATAAGTACAGGGACTTAATTTTCACTACAAGCACTGAAGAATGTTTCATCTAGAAACAGTTTTCAGGATTCTAACTTGCATGTGACATGTGACTAAAGGAAGCAGTTTAACATTAAAAAAACCTGTCGTTTGTGGCAAAGGAAATTCAGTATTAGTTTTAAATTTTCAGCAGCAATGTACAGAACAAATGAATTTTTTCTGAATACCACTTTAACACTTGAAAGACTAAAGCTATTTTCAAAATGCAGTGTTCAGTTATTTCTGCCATGTTTTTTCATTTGTCAGATATTGATTTTTATGCATGTTTTAAAACAATCTGTACCTAATTTAACCTATGTTATTTAAGCTTTCTGTGTTTCCCAGAACATTATTCCAAAGCATATTTCAGTATGATTGATGATGAGAGTTTTATTAATGGTAGTGTTGCAAAAATAAGAGTTAGTGTAATGTAATTTTGCTGTAATAGATTTTTGCTTTCACAAAAATACCAGAACAGCACCAAAGCACAACTTTCAACTTTCAGGGCCTCCCCCACCTCCACTTTACATGATATATTTTTTAAAAAATCCTTCTCCACCCCTATTACTTTTCCAGCTTTGACTGTCACCCCTACAGCTGACAGAGGGATGCTCTGTATTTTAGCACAGATAATTCCTTTAGGCTAGAGGACTCTTTTGTACTGATGCAAGTCAGTGAAGCATGGTGAGGTTTTAACCTCTAAGTATTACTGCAATCCTCATGTAATAGCATAAAATGCACTTGTCACCACTAAAATTACGTTAAAAAACTCAACTCAACAAAATGCTATTTTTTTTTTCTTGATGGTCTATAAAGCATTCAAAACACACCCTGGAATGAAACTGATTTTGCTTATTTTTCCACCTTTTTTTGCCATGTTCACAGTTATAAAATACTGGGGTTCAGTGTTACATACTGACATAATCACTTTATATGTTTCTCAGCTTTGCCAAGAGTGTAAGATCTGCACTGTTAACCAAGAATTCTTCTTTGTACTTTCATTTATCAGACTCAGTATTTCATTAATAAGTAAATACTTGCAACAAACATCAAGAAAAACCTCTCAGCTCAAACAGGTCTGACAAATGATATGTAACTTTGACCAGTTCAGCCCCCTGTAACATCAAAATATACTTGGAGAGCTACTGAGACTTTTAAAATTGCACCACTTAGCAAATAACACAAGCCATTGTAAAATAAGGTGCACACAAATTACTTAAATGCACATGCATTTGACCATGCAAAGAGAAACAATGAACAGTCAACTAAAACCCTGTGTTGGCCTTCAGAATTGCAGTGGTGAAGTGAGATTCATAGAACATCATCTGCATGCAAGTCGACTGACTATTTACTTCCTTTATTCACATGAACTTCATTGGAAGTTTGGTCTTAAATACACCTTCAGGTGAAAGGTTCCCATCTCCAGGATGTGTCACTGAACCCCAGCTCTCTCCCCCCACTCCCTAATGTGCCAGCACAGCCTTTTGTGGAACATTGCTCTAAAGTAGTTGTGATCTAGTCTGCAACATCCCTCCTGCACCAAACAAAGACTCAGGGTTTCTGAGTGCTGCTTTGTTTTGAAACAAACCAGCAATATATTGTTTTGCACAGCTGGGGACAGGGAGTGAACTGCAACATTATGCAGAGAATCTAAAGGGGAAAAGGCATAAATATTACAAGCAGATGAAAGCAGAGTCACCATTTAAGCCAGCATTCATGTGGTCTAAAGAAGAGCAGAACTAGACCCACCAGAGATTTCTGGGCAAAATCTGAAAAATAGCTTTATTCAGCTCAAGGCACTTACATGTCCCAGCTGACATTCAGAGATTCTGAAGAATTTCATTGGTTTATAAGAAATGTAGGAACACTTTCCCTACACACAAAGCTTCAGGTCTTAAAACTGCAAAGTAGAACATGTGGCCCAAGTGTGACTAAGACAGCATCACTTTAAGAAGATTAAAGACAGTCTGCAAAAACATATAATTAAGAGTTACTGCATTTTCACTAATTGTGGCCTTGCAATAGAACTTAGGAATAACTATATTGAAAACAAATTTGTCCTCGAAAGGGAAGAGTCAGGTCAAACAGAGAAGTGAGACAGAGACCATGTAGGATAGCAGCAGGGTACCAAAGATGACAGAAATGCCCTTAGAAAACAAGACAAGTGAAAAAGGGTGCAAGGGCAAAGAAACAATGACAAACTGCAAAACATGATACTGAACAAATAAATAACTGCTGAAAGTTCAGTTCATATTCCAATGCCTTATGACACCACTAAGCTTTATGTAAATCTCTTATAGAACCACTGTTAATTGATTGTATCACCTAAACTATTTTTCCAGAGGAAATTCTCTACTTTACAGAAAATAAGTGTGGTGCATTTGGTTATAGATCCAAATACATATGGAGCTTATAAAACTATTATACTCCAACAGGAAAGAAACGTTTCGGTCTTAAGCAAGAGGTGAGTCACATGACACCTACTGCCACGACATGCTTGAGGCCATAGTCACTGGGATGAGAAGCACTTGGGAAGTCATCAGGTGCACCCAAAGCTGGATCACTGCTCCTCCGTACCAGAAGCGGTGTGCCTGCGAGATAAAACAGAATTTAAAGGTTCGGGGATACTACATTAGCACAACGGAAAGCTTCATGTGGTTAAATAAGAAAAGTGTGCAGCACCTAAATATAAGTCTATCTGTGGTAATATTCACCTGTTAAATTACTAGATTTGATAGGGTTGTATCGTTTCAGATTTACTTAGCTAAAGAAATTATAAAATTTTTACACACCAATGTAATAGACCTCCATCCACAAGCTACCTAAATTAGGTGAAAACTGGTGACAAACAGGAGAAAAAGGCACCTCCTCAGAAAAACAAATGACTAGTTGCATGTATCTGCGACCACATGCACCACTAAGTGAGAGAAATTAAGATTATAGCTGTCAGTTATAACACTAAGTACAGTGGCTGGGGCTGATAGCAGCCATAATTATTAGATCTAAAAAAGAAGTTTGAACATGCAACGGTTTTCTTGTTAGATGCTAACATAGCTGGAGTGACACTACCACATTCACTTTCAGCACAACTTTCTCAATATAGCAGGAATAAATACCAGCACCTGATGAGGGGCAACCAGAGAACCTAATGTTCTTAACCCTTCTCCATGGTGAGCAAGTTTTTATATGCAGGTAATCTCTTCTATGCACACTTCTGCAGGAAATCAGTAAGAAAAGCAGAAGTAAGACTTAAATTTGTGTCCCAGTATTAAGGGAATGCTTAAACATCAGCAGGTGAATACTGTTTTTTCTGCCAAGTGATTATCATCTTTGTACCAAGAGCTATGCATGTTTTTACAAAGAAGTTGGGTAGAAAGGGATTGATCACCAAATTTGGTGTGATTTTCCAAAGGTGTCAACAGGTCAAAATGAACCAAATCTCTCCACCCAAATCTTCTTGTTCTTCATATGAAGCTGAGGAGAAATTTGTTTCCCCTCTAGGCATATCTGGCAAGAAGGTGTACAAAAGCTAAATACAAGTTACTCCCTTCTTTAAGATCACCTTAAAATATTTTTTTCTGTGTATCACTAAAGTTTCTGATGGTCTGTATCCAATTTTTTTGTCTCTCTTGAATATAACAGTTTGAAAACAGATGCTGAAATATTTTGTATGATTCAACACAATTTAGTCTCCAACTCCTTTTGACACAAAAAACTACAAGGAACTATTGAAAACCATTTGCACTGGTACTTTTATTGGTAAAACTTGCACAACTCAATGAGCATACTGTTCCTTACCCTCTTCAAAGTCATCATTCCAGCCTCTTTCCTCATTTCTGTCCTCCTTTTTCCAAGGTGAGAAATCCACTCAAAAAAAATCCACTTTGTAACTCAAAGAGGGTACAAAAAATTCCCCAGTCAACTTAAGAGGTCAAAGATGGGAACGGAGGGAGATGAGTGACCCCACACAAACAGATCATTTATAATGAGCTTATCCTCCTCCCAAAGCCAACACTCTGAAATTAGATTTCTTCTTTTTCCCTGAGCTGTCTTCTATAACTAACTTCCTTCATTTCTTCCTCATGCCTCTGGCTGAGAGAAAGATGAAGGCTCCCAACCCTGCGACTGCTGGGAGACAAGACCCCTGCTTGTTCCAGGGCCTTCCAGCAGCTACAGAGCTGGTGAAAGAAGAGGTCTCCTGTACCACACCACTTCAGCACTTCTGTCTGCTCTCTGTATTGATTGCTTCAAGATCCTTCTTCTTCCTACATTCTCCATCCTCAGTTCTGAAGATCTCCTTTCACTTGCTTTTTGTCAGTGTTTTCCAAAGAAACTGAAACAAAATTTACAACTGTCTAAACTTTGAAACCAAAGTCTGCAGGAACAGCAGGATTATAGCAAATACCATTCTCCGGTTCAGGAAGATGGCCTTGCAGCTATTTTCTTTCTTTCTATTCCTGCAAATTTTTGCTTATTGCCATGAAGCAATGAAATTTATGGTGCTCATCTGGAATGCTTCCCAAATTGAAGACAGACAACTGGACTTTTTGGCTATTATATACAATGTTTTCTCTTTTCTCCCAGTATGTTGTAAATTTTAGGGTCCTACAGATAATTTTTTACTTAAAGAGAGAATCAGAGTCAATTACACCACAAAAACACAAAATGAACCTTTTATTAGACAAAGAAACTGAACCAAAATGTGCTTGTTAATAGGAGAAAATCCACAGCAAAGAGGACGATTAGATGAAAGAGATGAGAAGAAGCTGTACTGCCCTCCTTTGCAGGAGAGTCCCTTACTCCCTTGCATGAGACAGCAATTCTCAGCAGCTCCTGGAGCTAACAACCTCTGCTCCATCTCCCCTCATCTCCTCTGTGGCTTGGGCTGCTCCCTGCCATAACAACACATTCCATGCCACTCCACGCGCTCCAGCCTGCCCTCTCCCACGGGCTCCTTTCTTTTTCCAGCCTTTCCCCACCTCCTCTGCACTGCACACTCAGGTCTCTTCAAAGCAAGCACATTCCCTTACATTCCCAAAGAGAAGCCTCCCCACATCTACTGCCCCAGATTCAACCAGACCCAGGAGCTGGACCATGTCCACTATCCATACATACCTTGCATTTGTTCATCCCCATCTTCCTCAGCCATGAACAAAATGTACTGAAAAACCATCAGCAATACTGTTTATTATAGACTGTAGTGCTGTAGAAAATTACGCACATTTTCTTAAGAGATTCTGTCATCTGTTTTCTTCTGTCAGGAAATGGAATGCTGCCTTTTTCCTTACAGCTTTCCTTTAGTCATGCTGTGTTTCTATGCTATTCTACTCACGCTCTTACATTTGTGCTGAACATTTATAACAACCAATGTAAGTTCAAACACAAAATCCATCTTTCCCTGAATGATGAGAGAGAGAAACTCCTTCCTGCATACTAAGTTGATCATAGAAACATGTTTTTTAATAAGCACTACTATTTTGTTCCAGAGTAGCACTTTGTATTTTAAACTTAGGAACTCAGTTTTAAAAAATAGTTATCCTCATCTTGCAGCACTGATTCAGAAGCTTGCAGACAACAGAAACTGAAACACATGTCCAAAATTTTTGTCATAATGACAGCCTTTAACTTCAATCACTTCAGAGTGCACTTCCCATACTTGAAAAATTTGCAGAGTACCTTTTATTATAGTACCATAGTACCTTTTAAGCATGTCAGCCTTATTCACAACACATACTCTTAGACAAAGCTGATAAAGTCTTACTGTTTTCCATGCTTAAAGTCTATCACTTAGTTTCAACCAATGTACATCAATCTTTTCTTTTTGCTAACATCACCCTCAAAAATTAGTAGCTACACAGACTCATGGTTAACAGTGTATTTTCCCTGAACTCTTATGTTTTGGAAATATTTTTTAACTGCAAATATGGTTGAGACAAGCATATGGTAGAAACCACACTTAGATTTAAATTGGTTGCATTAGGGAAGAAAAAAGAGCCAGAAGAGAGATTTCTGCCATTTGTGTACAATTAAAAAGTGAAAATTTTCATCAACACAATGGCAGAAGAAACACCTCCATACCACATGTAACCCGATTGTCCTAGTTTGTTTTGCTAGTTATTTCAATTTCACCAAAAAGCTGTGCATAGACATTAACACCTACCATGACCAAGAATGTGCTCTGCCTCACTGAAGCCTCCTGGCAGTGCAAAAATCAGGCTAGGAGGGGCCTGACAAACTACAAGTGATGCATTCAAGAATACTGTGCAACTGCAGGTAAACAATACAAGGTCTGGATTTCAGGACCTGAATATGGTATGGGGAACCCTGGAGCTCCAGCTGCCCCTGCTGGGGTCCCCCGAAATGTTACAGTTTCCAGGTGCTGACTTCTGGCATCAGATTTCAGGCCTACATTTAGACAGTTGAGTACCACTTAATATGACCAATACCACAAAAAATTATTCCTATCCTTCCTTAATTTCATTAATTTGCTCTAACATCTCTTTACTCAGGAAAGCACAGTCCATCTCCAGCCTGAAATCCCTTTATTCTTTGAGATTTAGGTTGTAGGTTGCCGAAAAATGCTGAAGACAACCAGACTTTATCACCCATGAGAATTTTTGGCAGGCTGAGCCATCCATAATGCAGTCAAATCATGTTCTAAAAAATCAATTTTAGCAATGTTTTGGATGCAAACACTCTCAGATGACTTTTAGGTAAGCTGAAAAACAAAGAACACAGGAAACACAAGCACAGGTGTATTGTTGTGCTACTGCATCACTGACAACTAACATTCTCTGAGGTTGGTTGGTTTTTCTAGGTATCAGGGAAGAATTACTGCAGTGCAGAACTAAAGATACACTTGGACAGAATATTGTGGGCAAAAAGAGATTTACAATACTTCACCATAATTAAAATTCTGCTCCTGAATATAAAAATGCTGACTATGATGGGAAAAGAGCTGTCCATCAAGTGTGTATCAAAGTATCAGCTGCTGAAGGCCATACCAGTGACAATTACTCTGCTGCCTGCTTCCAAATTACCATGCCTGGACAGACAGACAAATTATTATCTTATTTGCAGATACCTCCAAATATTTTTTTCAGAGCTCCTTCTGAGCAAATCACAACATTCCAAGTCAGCTGAAACAAAACACCTAAATACTATATGCGTATACACACAAATGTAGAATTGCAGTTCATCATGGACAATTTTCTTGGCTAGAAGAGCTCTGAACAAACAAAAAATAAGCAACTTCCATTTGCAGCAAGAAGTCAAAATTGCTTTTAAACTTAGCTTGTCATGAAACAGGTCAGACCCTGAAAACAAAGTTACAAGCAAGCTTTTAATTTATATTTAAATACATAAAAGATTAATATATGCTCTTATTGTTCTCCTTTTCATCAGACAATTTTCACATTAACAGGCATACAGACAGTTCTTCCCAGTCAGCACTTTTTGAGAGCACTGAGCAATCAGTGTGTGTAAATCTGGTCACCCTCAGATATATAGCTTGCCACCACCTGAGGCATCATGGAATGGTTCTGCCACATACTTGAAATGTAGCTGACATGTGCTTGTATGTCCTGCCTTG